ATTGACTACTACTAAACTTTATTCTGCATAAGGGTTTATCATTGATCATTCCGTTTACGTTTAAACTGTTTATTGGAAATGCTCAAATTTTACTCTCGGGTTGTCCATCCATTTACTTACTGAGATATTTTATCTCACGTTTTCCTCGTCCACCATTTCAGGTAGTGAGACCCGACGCGTGGGAAGCCCGGGAGAGTGACGAGCTAGACGGCTAGGTATTTTTGGAGTTAGTTCTGTAGCTAGGCCGTTAGCCACCCATGCGGATTTAGGAATTTTGTGTACAGGATTTAGTGTTAGTCATGATTGTATATATGAAGTGATAATTTTGTACATTCACTGGTAACTATTTGGTAAAGTAAAAAGGCTTAGATTTGAATTACCTGAATTGCTAAGTAAGAATTCATCAGGTCTCGAGCCTTGTGCATTTGTGGGCCCCGCTCACGAGTGCACGGCGTCTGTTTCGCTCTCGGTTTGGGGCGTGACAGATTTTGTGGTATCAGAGCCTAGGTTAAAATTTAGAGCCGAAGGCTAGTGTAGAAATTGGCTAGTAACTATTAGAGGAACGTGGTGAGGCATGAGAGTGGGGTTGATTAAGGGCGCTTGTTTGATTTTCTTTAATGTGTGAGATTTTTACTCATCTCATTTTGTTTGTGTTGCTTGATCCCGGAAGTGGAAACTTGTCGGGAAATTCCTTGTGGAGCATATGATTAATAATCTATATACACTTTTAATGTGGTTATAGATGGCTCCAAAACGGCGTGGGCGGCCCCCGAGGGGTAGCCATAAGGATCAGGGCACTCCTCCAATCCCAGAAGCTAGTCCCCCTACTCAAGCTGCTCCGCAGGAGGGAGGGACGAGCAATCCCCAAGTGGCCAGCTTTGCTCGGGAACTTATGGCAGAGATAAGACGCCAAGTGTCTCCTGCCACAAGTGTACCACCTTCATCCCCGGTGGTCTCCACTCCTATGGCCCCTGCTCCGGTTTCCCCTGTTCCTATCTCTTCTGCCCCTGCTGTGCCTGTCTGGAAGATTTATACAGAATTCCAGAAGGTGATGAAGAACAAGGGATTCGATGGTACTGCAGGTTTTGAGCAGGTAGAATCGTGGATCACCGAGGTGGAGCGGGGATTTCACCTACTGCATGTTTCTGATGACCTTAAGGTCAACGTAGGCACTTACATGCTTTCTGGGAAGGCATTAACTTGGTGGGTGAGTTATATGAAGCTACACCAAGGGGAGCCTGAACTGAGCACCTGGGAGGGTTTCAAGAAGGTGTTCATGCGGGAGTTCATACCGGACAGCAAGAGGCGAGAACTGCAAAGGAAATTTACAGATCTAAAACAAGGGTCAAGTACTGTTGAGCAGTACAAGGAGGAGTTTGACCGCTATCTGCCTTTTGTGGGTAGCCAAGTCGGCGATGAGCAAGCCAAGGCCGACAAATTTCTGTGGGGCTTAAATTCTGACATTTATTTGGCGGTAAACCAATTTGAACCCGCCACTTATCGAGAGGCTGTGGACAGAGCTATAAATTATGAGAAGGCTATGGCTAGGGTCAAGTCCTCAGGGCAGTCTAGTGGTGGGTCATCCCTTGGGAAGAGGAAATTCGATGGGAGCCGTAGGCCCTTTGTCCCTGCACCGCCTAGGCCTGCTATCAGCAAGGGTTCTAGATGGTCAGGAGCCACCCAGACTGGGGGCCAAGCATCCACGGCCCAGCGTGCTCGCCCTACTCCACTTACTTGCCTCGTTTGTGGGAAGGTTGGGCACACCCATGATCAGTGCCACTTTGTTACCGGAGCTTGTTTCAGATGTGGCAAGCAAGGACATCAGATTGCAAATTGTCCACTGCCAAACCCCAAAACTCAAAGTACTCAATCTACATCTCAGCAGGGGTCTACCAATCAAGGGGCACCGAAGCAGAATGTCGGGGTTAGGACAAGAGCCCAGCAGGCAAGAGCCCAAGCCCAGCAGGCAAGAGTTCACGTGATGACCCATCAGGAAGCTGCGGCTACCGACGTAATCACGGGTACCTTGCCTGTCAACTCTGATTTTGCACATGTTTTATTTGATTCGGGTGCATCGCACTCCTTTATTGCTCGATCTTATGCTTTGAAACGAGCTTTGCCTGTTGATACTTCTGATTTTGAATTGCATGTGGACACCCCTTTAGGAGGGGTGATGACTACTAAAGATGTGTGTAGGACTGTGAATATTTATATTGATGGTAGACAGTTGAGTGCTAGTTTGTTTGTTTTAGATATCTCCGATTTTGATATCATTTTGGGGATGGATTGGCTGTCCAAATATTTTGCCTCTATAGATTGTCATCGGAAATGGGTAGTTTTTAATATTCCTGGTGAGCCAGAATTTAGTTTTCAAGGCAGTGGTTCTTTTGCTCCACCCGTGTTAGTATCTGCCTTGCAGGCTCAGAAATATCTTGTAAATGGTTGCCAGGGTTTTCTAGTCTCCGTTACTGATGCTAGTAGTGTGACACCGAGACTAGAGGACATACCGGTGGTACGTGAGTTTCCGGATGTGTTTCCGGAGGATCTCCCAGGTTTACCTCCGGATAGAGAGGTTGAATTTGCTATTGACCTTGTTCCTGGCACCGGACCCGTTTCCAAAGCACCATACCGTATGGCTCCTGCAGAATTGAAGGAGTTAAAGGTCCAGCTGGAGGAACTCCTTGAGAAAGGGTTTATACGCCCTAGTGTATCACCTTGGGGAGCTCCAGTGTTGTTTGTCAAGAAGAAGGATGGGAGCATGAGGCTATGCATTGATTACCGGGAATTGAATAAGGT